AGTTCCCCCTAATGTTGAGGTGGAATCTCTTTTCCTGGAGCTTCCATCTGGGTCCCATTCTCTCTGGAGCAGCAGAAAACAAGCTAGCGCCCTCCTCAATATGACATCCCTTCAAATATTGAAACAAAGCTATCATATCACCTCTTAACCTTTTCTTCTCCAGCTAAACATCCCCAGTTGCCCAAGTCATTCCTCATAGGGCATGGTTTCCAGAACCTTCACCATTTTAGTCGCCCTCCTTTGGACAAGCTCCAGTTTTTCATCATCCTTTTTGAATTGTGGTGCCCAGAACTGGACACAGTATTCCAGGTGAGACCTGACCAAAGCAGAATAGAGTGGCACTATTACCATACTTCCTTTGATCTAGATCAGGGGTCGGCAACCTACAGCCTAGAGCCGGATTCTGCCCCCTGAGGCCTTTGGACTGGCCCAGCCCGGTCCTGCAGCTGCTGTTGCGGCTGCAAGCGCCGCTGCTGCACAAGTCGCGGCCGCCATTTTGTTTTCCAAAATGGTTCTGCGACTCATTTGCACATGCACAGTACTCCGGCGCACGTGCAAACGAGTCGTGGTGGCATTTTAGAAAACAAAATGGCGGCCGCAACCACTCGCACATGCGCAGTACACCAGAAGTGTAGCGCATGCGCGAGCGAGCGTGCGCATGCATCACAGTACTTTCAGCATACTGCGCCATCCCCCCCCCCCCATGGAGGGGTGACTGTAAATAAATGACCATTACATTTTATTGGTAGGCATTAGAAGCCTTTATATTTGTTCCACACAAATATCCTCCAATTGTTCTGATTTGTAGGAACAGTTCTGAATAATCCTGTAAGTATTGTCTGAGGATGTCACTTCAGTTTTTCAGCTGCTTTAAAAATGTCCCAGTTTCTCTCTCCTCCTCCCACTTCTTCCCTTTTTCTCAGCTTACTTCAATTGATGCAAACTACGGTAAATTCAAAGTGCAAAAGTGTTAACTCAGTATTGGGGGACAGGAGCAAATCGAATCTTGCCCTTCCTAGTAGGTTCAGTGAAAAGAAAACTTCAGCAGCCTTTTTCACCTTGTCTTTTCCCCCCTCTCATCAATACCTTTTGCCATCCTGACCATACCCTGATCTTGCTTGGCCACACTTCCCCTGATTTTCATCTGTGAATTCATGGAGAGTATGAGTTTCATGCAAAATGGACAGAAGTTGGTAATTTTCTGGAAAAAAGAGGCCACTTTGCCTATCAGTTCCAAACTTTCACAAAAATGCTTGGGGTGTTAAAGTGTAAATACACATTTTATCAAAAAACAGTTCATAAGCCTGCATTTGCATTCAAAACAAAACCAAAGCAGATATCTGAAGTGTTTTTTCAGGAGCTGCGCAAAATGGTCAACAGATTATAATAGTCTTCCTTTTGATCCCATTAGCTTGCACACCATGATTGCTGACAGTATGGTCAAGGCAAAAATGTGGATTTGTAAAGCTTAACAGATAAACACTTCAAATCATATTATAGATTATGGAGAGGGGAGTAAAGCAGTTTCTAATTTTGGTGGCATCCACAAAATTAGCATCTACGTTGTCCCCAGTGAGAATTTTCCTCCTCAAGACAAAAACATTTAATGCATTTTACCAGTAATAAATACATTTGCAACATTTAAGGTGCAAATTTATACAGTGGTACCTCTACTTACGAAATTAATTTGTTCCAGCAGCCA